GATGCCCGCTGTTTTGCCAGATGACTCAGTGCCCGCTGTTTTGCCAGATGGCTCGTGCCCGCAGTCTTGCCAGATGACTCGGAGCCCGCAGTCTTGCCAGATGACTCGGTGCCTGCTGCTCCGCCTGGTGCCTGGTGCCAGCGGCTCTGCCTGGTGGCCCGGTGCCCGCTGCTCCGCCTGGTGGCCCGGTGCCCGCTGCTCCGCCTGGTGGCCCGGTGCCCGTTGCTCCGCCTGGTGGCCCGGTGCCTGCTGCTCCGCCTGGTGGCCCGGTGCCCAGCCTGATGTACCTCTGTCCGGTGCCCAGCCTGATGTGCCTCTGTCCGGTGCCCAGCCTGATGTGCCTCTGTCCGGTGCCCAGCCTGATGTGCCTCTGTCCGGTGCCCAGCCTGATGTGCCTCTGTCCGGTGCCCAGCCTGATGTGCCTCTGTCGGTGTCCAGCCTGATGTAACTCTGCCCGGTGTCCAGCCTGATGTGCCCAGCCTAATATGCCTCTGTCCGGTGCCCAGCCTGATGTGCCTCTGTCCGGTGCCCAGCCTGATGTGCCTCTGTCCGGTGCCCAGCCTGATGTGCCTCTGTCCGGTGCCCAGCCTGATGTAACTCTGCCCGGTGTCCAGCCTGATGTGCCCAGCCTGATGTGCCTCTGTCCGGTGCCCAGCCTGATGTGCCTCTGTCCGGTGCCCAGCCTGATGTGCCTCTGTCCGGTGTCCAGCCTGATGTGCCTCTGCCCGGTGCCCAGCCTGATGTGCCTCTGCCCAGTGCCCAGCCTGATGTACCAGTTCTTGATATCCCGCCAATTACCGGATCCGGGCGGTGGAACATTTTGCCCATTTAGGACGGATTGGAGCGTCCTGAGGCCGCTCCTTGAGGGGGGGGGGGGGTACTGTCAGGAATGGACTCGCCAAAAGTGGTGGGACTCACCTGCCTTGTGGGTTGCAGTACCAGGGCTGGCCAGCGGGTGCTCTCAACAACCAGAGGCTCACTCCGGCAATTAGCCACCACCTGGGGCTGATTGCAGGTGGTGTATTTAAGGGATGGCCAGACCTGCAGTCAGTGCCTTGTTGTACTGTTTGCTTGGCCCTGGTTTCCTGATCCTGTTACTTCTGTCCTGACTCTGCTTGAACTCTGCCTGTACTGTCCTCGGCTAGTCCTGACCACTCTCCCGCCTGCTCCTGGTACTCCGTTTGCCCGTTTGCTACCGACCCGGCCTGCCTGACTACCCTTGTATTGTATGTTTGTTATCTGTTGGAGGTTTGGTTCAGTTTGTTTGCACTGTGTTTATGTTTAGTTTTGCACTGCGTTTGTATTGTTAGTCTTAATAAATTATATTATTTACTATATCTGAAGCCTGCGTTTCCCTGTGTCAGTCCACACACTTCTGGTCATACCAGCATCCCTGACACAGCCATAGCCACCACACTCAAATTGTTTCTTATTGCCCTACTTCTTCAACAGCAACCTTCTCATTCCTTCATGGACACTATAACAGCCACTATCAAAGTATGGAGAGCTCCAAAGCTCAAAGCTCCAAAGCTATACCTCCTGATCTACTCTATCATCTTCCTATTACAGCACTGGACCTTCTGATTCCAAACACCACTTTTAGACATTAAGCCGCAGAAGGATTAAAATCCATTGGAGATTTACACAGAGGAACCTCTCTAACTGCCTATCATCAACTGGTTAATCATACTTACTCTGCTAAACTCTGGCATAAAGCTCTTTCCTTAACCCTTAAAGCTTCCCATTGCATATTCCACTGGGAAACTGCCCCAAAAATCTTTAATATCTGGTACTTAACGCCTACAAAACTAGCCCATATATACCCCCCCCCCCCCCCGTTTCTGCACTCTGTTGACAGAAATGTAGCCAACACAGCTCCGCCTATCATATATGGTGGGGCTGCCGTAAATTAACAACTCTGCGGAATAATCTAGAAACTCTTATTACCTCTATCACTAATCTCTCCTTCTCTTCTACACCACAAACTATCCTACTAGGCATGCATCACCATCTTTGGCCTTCTAAGTTACACACTATTGTAACTCACTCACATATTCATAATACGGCTACCCATCACCAGAAAATGGAAGTCTGAACACCCTCCTACTATACAAGAAGCGATTGTTATTTTAAACCACAACTGCCAACTTAAACATGCCTTTGCCAAGGCACATTTACAACTAACTAAATTTCTAAGCAATGGGAGTCCTTGGTTACGAGACCCCAGAAGCCCAAAAAACCTATCTTGATATATACAGGTGAAACTCGAAAAAATTAGAATATCGTGCAAAAGTTCATTTATTTCAGTAACGCAACTTAAAAGGTGAAACTAATATATTAGATAGACTCATTAAATACAAAGCAAGATAGTTCAAGCCTTGATTTGTCATAATTGTGATGATTATGGCTTACAGCTCATGAAAACCCCAAATCCACAATCTCAGAAAATTAGAATATTACATGCAATCAATACAACAAGGATTGTACATAGAACAATATCGGACCTCTGAAAAGTATAAGCATCCATATGTACTCAGTACTTGGTTTGGGCCCCTTTTGCAACAGTTACTGCCTCAATAGCATGGAAGCTATCAGCCTGTGGCACTGCTGAGGTGTTATGGAAGACCAGGATGCTTCAATAGCGGCCTTCAGTTCTTCTGCATTGTTTGGTCTCATGTCTCTCATCTTTCTCTTGGCAATACCCCATAGATTCTCTATGGGGTTCAGCTCAGGCGAGTTTGCTGGCCAATCAAGCACAGTAATCCCATGGTCATTGAACCAGGTTTTGGTACTTTTGGCAGTGTGGGCAGGTGCCAATTCCTGCTGGAAAATAAAGTCAGCATCCCCATAAAACTCGTCTGCGGAAGGAAGCATGAAGAGCTCCAAAATCTCCTGGTAGACGGCTGAGTTGACCCTGGACTTAATGAAGCACAGTAGACCAACACCAGCAGATGACATGGCTCCCCAAATCAACACAAACTTTGGAAACTTCACACTGGACTTCAAGCATCTTGCAGTGTGTGCCTCTCCATTCTTCCTCCATACTCTGGGTCCTTGGTTTCCAAATGAGATGCAAAAGTTGCTCTCATCAGAAAAGAGGACTTTGGACCACTGAGCAACAGACCAGGTCTGCTTTTCTTTAGCCCAGGCAAGACACTTCTGACGTTGTTTGTTGTTCAGGAGTGGCTTGACAAGAGGAATACGACATTTGAAGCCCACGTCCAGGATCCGTCCGTGTGTGGTGGCTCTTGATGCACTGACTCCAGCCTCAGTATACTCCTTGTGAAAGTCCCCAACACTTTTGAATTGCCTTTTCCTGACAATCCTCTCCAGTCTGTGGTCATCCCTGCTGCTTGTGCACCTTTTTCTTCCACACTTTTCCCTTCCACATAACTTTCTATTAATGTGCTTTGATACAGCACTTTGGGAACTTCTTTTGCAATTACCTTTTGAGGCTTTCCCTCGTTATGGAGGGTGTCAGTGATGGTTTTCTGCACAACTGTCAGGTCAGCAGTCTTTCCCATGATTGTGATTCCTAATGAACCAGAGACCATTTAAAGGCTCAGGAACCCTTTGCAGGTGTTATGGCATAATTAGCTGATTAGAGTGGGACACTTTGAGCCTAGAATATTGCACCTTTTCACAATATTCTAATTTTCTGAGATTGTGGATTTGGGGTTTTCATGAGCTGTAAGACATAATCATCACAATTATGACAAATCACAGCTTGAACTATCTTGCTTTGCATGTAATGAGTCTATCTCATATATTACTTTCATCTTTTAAGATGCATTACTGAAATAAATGAACTTTTGCACCATATTCTAATTTTTCGAGTTTCACCTGTATATAATTATAGATCAAATATACCTCCCCCCAGAATATCGAGAACAGTTATGCATTTCTTCTGGACCGCTGAGCCACGTAATGATAAAACTTCCTATTCCTTCACTACTAATTACTTTATTACTCCCTTATTACATATACCCACATTTATTATAATATGAGATTTCTATCTATACAACAAATGATATATTGTACTTCCTTTCAGAATCAATGTGATGATTTATGTTTTTCTTCTTTTCTCTCTGATGACTATATTGGTTTATTGGTGTTTAACCTGGACTGTTTCTTCTTCTTGTTACTCCTGAATCATTGGTCCACCAAAATTTCAATAAAAATCAAGTAAAAAAAAAAAAAGCATATAATCTGCATAAGGCTGATTGTTTCAGTTAGGCTCCCCAGACACAGGCCTATAATATTTGGGTGTGCTCTGATGGTGATTGCCAATGGTTCCACTGCTAAGGCAGGGGGGAAAAGTGGGCACCCCTGATGCTTGCCTCTCGACAAGAGAAATGGGTTGATAACTCTGCCATTAACCTGAATCTGGGCTACTGGGGCCTGATATAGGAGCTGAAGCCATTTGAGGTAATTTGGGCCGAAGCCATAATGGCAAAGCCATTCCCATAAATATTCCCAGTCGAATGCCTTGGCGGCATCAAGACTGATCACTACTACTGACAACAGAATCATGTGGAGCCTGAAGATTCTTAAAAAATCATTTAAGGTTAAACGCCCTGTTTTTGTTTCGTTTAAAGTTAATTTGGTCTAGATGGATTAGATTAAGAATCACCTTTATAGAGGTGTAAAGCCAGGATTTTAGGTACAGGGGATGACCAGAGACTGCGGACACACGGTACAGGGGATGACCAGGACTGCGGACACACTACAGGGATGACCAGGGACTGCGGACACGGTACAGAGGGATGACCAGGACTGCGGACACGGTACAGGGGATGACCAGAGACTGCGGACACGGTACGGTACAGGGACTGCGGGATGACAGGGGGACAGGGCGGACACGGTACAGGGGATGAACAGGGACTGTGGACACGGTACAGGGGATGAACAGGGACTGCGGACACGGTACAGGGGATGACCAGGGATTGCGGACACGGTACAGGGGATGACCAGGGACTGCGGACACGGTGCAGGGGATGACCAGGGACTGCGGACACGGTAGAGGGGATGACCAGAGACTGCGGACACGCTACGGGGGATGACCAGAGACTGCGGACACGGTACGGGGGATGACCAGAGACTGCGGACACGGTACGGGGGATGACCAGAGACTGCGGACACGGTACGGGGGATGACCAGAGACTGCGGACACGGTACGGGGGATGACCAGAGACTGCGGACACGGTACGGGGGATGACCAGAGACTGCGGACACCGTACGGGGGATGACCAGAGACTGCGGACACCGTACGGGGGATGACCAGAGACTGCGGACACCGTACGGGGGATGACCAGAGACTGCGGACACCGTACGGGGGTGACCAGAGACTGCGGACACCGTACGGGGGATGACCAGAGACTGCGGCGGGGGATGTCCACCGTACGGGGGATGTCCAGAGACTGCGGACACCGTACGGGGGATGTCCAGAGACTGCGGACACCATACGGGGGATGTCCAGAGACTGCGGACAGTACGGGGGATGTCCAGAAACTGCGGACACAGTACAGGGGATGACCAGAGACTGCAGACACAGTACAGGGGATGTCCAGAGACTGCAGACACAGTACAGGGGATGTCCAGAGACTGCAGACACAGTACAAGGGATGACCAGAGACTGCGGACACAGTACAAGGGATGACCAGAGACTGCGGACACAGTACAGAAGATGATCAGAGACTGCGGACACAGTACAGGAGATGACCAGAGACTGCAGACAGTACAGAGGATGACCAAGAGACTGCAGACAGCATAGGAGATGACCAGAGACTGTGGACCTTTGGGGAGGGAGGGGGTGCGGGTACCTGATTTTGACAGGTACCCGCTCTCACTTCCGCAGAGTTGTTCCTCCTTTTAGTGTGGGCACCTGGCTTTTACAGCCGGGTGCCCACTGCGCATGCGCGAGAAGCCGGGTGCCCACAGCCGGGTGCCCACACTAAAGATGCCGGTGCGGGAAGACTGTACAGCGCTGGACCGAGGAACAGGTAAGGTCCTGCTGCAGAGAAGAGCTGAGTGGCCAGCCCGATATTCTGATACGTGTCGGCGGCGGAAATACCGGACTGGCTGCTCCATATTCGTTCCATAAGATGCACTGACATTTTCCCCCTTTTTTTGGGGGGAAAAAAGTGCGTCGTATGGAGCAAAAAATACGATACTTAAAAACCTCCCGCAGGTTAGGAATTAAGGCCTCCCGAAATTGTGTGTAGAACTCCAATGGGAGTCTGTCTGACCCAGGAGCTTTGGCGGGTGTAGGGTATGGTTGTCAAACTGGCAGCCCTCCAGCTGTTGCCAAACTACAAGTCCCATGAGGCATTGCAAGATTGACAGTTACAAGCATGACTGCCAAAGGCATTACATTATTACATTACATTACATTGAGTTTATATAGCGCCAAAGGGTTTGCTCAGCGCTGTACAATAGAGGGGGGGACAATACATGAAACATTACAGCAGCTACGAACAGCACACGAGGGGTAAGAGGGCCCTACTCTTTCGAGCGTACAATCTGGGAGGGAGGGGGTAGTGGTACAGGAGGAAGTGGCTGTGGGGGATGGAGTGGTAGGAGGAATGAAGGAGAGCAGCAGTTAGGTGAGGGTGGGGTAGGCTTCCCTGAAGAGGTGGGTTTTCAGGGAGCGCCTGAAGGTGAGGAGGGAAGGTGACAGTCTGATGGATTGGGGTAGTGAGTTCCAGAGGATGGGGGAGGACCTGGAGAAGTCTGCAGACGTGCGTGTGAGGAGGAGACCAGGGAGCAAGATAGAAGGAGGCCAGAGCGAAGGGTACGGGTAGGGTGGTACTTGGGAATCAGGTCGGTGAGGTAGTTAGGGGCAGTGTTGTGAATGGCTTTGTAGGTCAGAGTGAGTAGTTTGAATTTGATGCGTTGGGCGATAGGGAGCCAGTGGAGGGAGAGGCAGAGGGGGGGTGGCAGAGGTGGAGCGGCTGGTGAGGTGGATGAGTCTGGCAGCTGAGTTCAGGATGGTCTGAAGCGGGGGGAGAGTTTGCACTGGGGTAGTGAGGAGGGAGTTGCAGTAGTCAAGGCGTGAGATAATCAGGGAGTGCACAAGTAGTTTAGCGGTGTCTGGGGTAAGGAAGGTGCGTATTTTGGCGGAAGCATGTGGGACTTGTAGATCTGCAACAGCGGAGGGTCGCCAGTTTGACACCTCTGGTGTAGAGTGTGCCATGGCTTCATCTATATCATCGGAGCCTCTAGCTGACTGGACTGGGGGAGTTAGGGAAGTGAATGAGTTTGTTAATGAAAATGAAGCCAATTCTTCATGTGAGTAATGGGCAGAAGAGTTGTAAATAGCAGTAAAGAAGTTTTGAAATTCCACAGCTACAAGATAAGCGTCAGTAAGATGTTGACCTGATGCATTCTGTAGGGTCACTACCACTGGTGGCTTGTGTACCAGGTGTGCTTGATAGGCAAGCAATTTACCAGCTCATTCCCCGTGCTCAAACACTCTTTGTTTGCAGAAAAAGATCTGTTTGGCCTTTTCATAGTATAGGTGGTTGACTAATCTGGCCTGCATTTTGACTAGAGAAGCATTATTTCCAGAGGGATTTGCCTGGAAATTTAGTTCTACAGACAATAGGTGTTCTTTAGCCTGTTGAATTACCAATTTAGGATGCTTTATATCTGGAGATGAGAGTTTACAAGATCAGTCTGGCATGCAGTTTAAATGATTCCCAGGCTGCCCCAATGGGGGGCAAACCCTGATTGAACTGGAAAAAAACTTCCCATTCCTTTTGTAGGGTCTCTGTGTGTGGGAGGAATCTATAACCTTGTTAGGTATGAATGGCCAAGGGAGTGGTGTTCCAGGCATTAACACATGGGCATGGTTTAGTGACGCCACTAGGATGGTCAATCTGTATCTAGAGCTTAAACCAGTAGAAGCATTAAAAAACAGTACATTGCAGGAAATAATACACCTACTGGGGGGGTGAGGGTAGGGAGATAAAGGGGTCATTGATATCCAACTGAAGAATCCTTGAGGTCTCCATTGAGAAGAGTGGCATTTCAAATGGGACAATAAATCAGTGAGTGGATAGGGCAATGTCTAAAGTCCCCATGGGATATGAAGGGGAAGAAGAAATTAAGTGTCATAGAGGAGTTTAGGCGGAAGTGGTCCAGGGGAAAGAGAAAAACAAAGTAGGGTGAGAGGGAGGAAAACTCACGAGTCCCGGTGTGGTGGAGCCCTACTGGATGGGCATCCAGATGAGTTTACAAGGTATCCAAGGCCATGGACATAGAAAGACTTCAAAGAGTGTGGGTAACTTGGAAGAGCTTCAAGCCGATGCAGGGCCTGCTGTTCTAGCCATTGAAGATTGCATCAGTATCCTCAAAAAAGTGTACTTTGTCATAATAATATCCTGACTTTGACTATCTCCAACTTTTTCTAACAATAAGCCTACAACACAATTTGAACAAGACATTTACATAGGCACCCAACTCAGTGTCACCATGCCTTCACCTTCCCCAGGTCATCAACCAATAAGGTTTAGCTGGAGGGGTGGAGCGTGTTACACGGAAGTTGACAAAACCTTCAGTGACCTCTGGTCCATACACTTACCGCCTGGACACTTGTGTCACACAACAAATTATCTTATACTTCTATGCGATAGGAAGAAAAGCACAGAATTGCAGGACAAAACTGATCAACCCGGACTTTCCCTGGTTTCTTCTCAAAGAAACTCTTTTAGTCCCTTCTCTAAGAGACTTGCACTTCTACAAAGTGCTCTGGTCTTCCCAAAAGACCTGGTGCTTCTAAAAAGCACAATGCGCCTGGCCACTGGCGTCTTATGACGCGAGGTCCAGTGCAACAAAGGGCCTGAAATTTTATCACAGCCTTACGGCAAGACAGATTGTTTGGCAAAAAAATGACAAGAAATCTTACTTACCGAAGGGTGATTATTTCATCCCGGACGAGCCCCCAGCTGAAAGGAATTTGACTCTCATCCCTCTCAAGACACTGACCCCCGTCAGTCCCAGGCTTGATCAGTGACTGTCCTCAGGCCTGGAGCCCACTCTGAGACACACAGGAAACGCAGACACAAGGTGGTATCTCAGAATGAACTGAATTTATTCTTCCGTGTTTCAGCTTATATAAGAAACTTCAAACAATGCATAAAATATAGAAGCCAATCAAATATCAGATATGCATAAGCCAATCATTTGTGATATACGTCATATTTGAACTCTTAAACACTTATGCAAATTTCTAAGTTCTTAAGAAAAAGAAATATGTATATTTTTAATATATCGTTTAACCACTAACTGTCAGTACAATCTGATAAGAAGAAAAAGAGAACTTGGAGTTTAAGAGAAAGAGGAAGTTCTTTAGGTTTCTTGAGAATATGAGACAAAAGAGGAACCTTTAAGTTTCTTGTAAAAGATAACATACAACAGAAAGAGGGAAGTTAGTTTTTAAGTTCTTTGAAAGACAGAAATACAAGTTTCAGCAAAATATGAAATAATTCTTAACTTAAGCTATCATTTAAACAAGATGGCCTTTTACTAATTCTTAGCACAAAATGGCTACTTTTAGGCTAAAAAGACTAATTCCTTCAAATCCCCTCTTAGGCCACGAACGTGACCTTACACCTTTTTACAGGTTTGTACCTGAGGCCCTTAGTACGTCTTTTGTCAAGACACTGATTCCACATACTTTTAGTAAATGGTGGCGTCAATAAGCTTCTGCAATAAACTCCGGATACAGGGAATACAACAGCAACCACACAGAGTTAATACTGCAGCAGCCATTACTATAGAAACTAACATAGTTTTCATCAGGGTTCCCCATTTACCAAACCAGGTTTCAAATAGGCTGGCTAGTGGATTTTCTACTCCTGAGTTTTCGGCCCAATTCTTCAGATAACATTTGGAGGCCTTGAAGGGCTCTAGTAATGCTTCCATCAGAAGCGGTGTTATTGGGGATAAAAGTACAACAGTAGGAACCAAACATTTTACATACTCCTCCTTTCTCAGCTAATAACATATCAAGAGCAATACGGTTTTGCCAAGCAGTAAGGGATGTTGCATCAAGTTGGGCAGAAACACCTTTCAGAGCATCCCTAGTATAGTTAACAAACCTTTGTTGATTATAGTAAATGTAATTAATCCAATCCACATTTTTGTTAGGCTGTACCCATAAAGCGATAGAAGCAAACCCTGCAGCAATCTGATCCTGAGCTTTAAATTCGTCAGGGACTCCTCTTGGTACGCCTATAGAATCTATGTAAACTCTATTATCAAAGGAACCACGGGGCACACTTCTTTTATGCCTTCTTGATCCGGATTTTTCCAAGATGGGCAAGCTTCTTATCCCATCTTCCACTTTGACCATAAAGAAAGGCATGAGAAGATGGGTCAGAGCACAGCTTCCCTTCCATCTGTTGGGGAGTCTGGCTCTGAGTCTCATATCTCCACACAGCCACCACACATCTGACAGTTGCTGCCGGTGGTCCTGAAACCATTCCTTCCGGTAGCCTTCTGCAGAGGTGCGGATGGTCTTAACACAGTAATTAGGTGGGAATGTACCTAAATCTTTACCCTTAGCATCATCATGTTCAAAGCAGGTAAAATTTCCTGGTACCGATTTAGAGGCTAAAGGTAAGTTTCTTAGTCCGGTATCCATACAGGGAACTTCTTAACAAAATCAGAACATTCCTTCTCAGTGATGTTATCTTTATACATTCTAATTAGGCAGGACATAT